GCAGACTAGGCCACAGACTCACAGTCCAGTACTTTGGAGGAGCTGGGCAGTATACAGAGAAGAGTAATACTAAACCAAATGTGGTAGTGAATACCTGTAATCCCAGTGCTTGAGAGGTAGAGGCAGCAGGACTGTGAGTCTGAGGTTAGTCTGGGGTACACAGCAAGTTTAAGACCAGCCTGAGCTACATAGAAGGTACCCTATCTCAAAAAAGAAAGGAAAAGACAGGAGAGAGAGTAGGAGGGAGGGAGGGAGAAAAGGAAGGAGGGAGAGAGAAGAGGAGGAAGGGAAGAAAGAAGGATTCAGAAGAGTGATCCTAAGGGTATGGCACACAGTGGTTGAAAAGCTCAGAAAACACTGAGGCAGCACATGGAGTAGAGGGTAACTGGACAGGTCCCATGGCTTTGGGCCTCGTCCAGTTCACAACACTATATTAAGCCAGTCAGTAATGGCACCATGTAACAGCCTGGACAGCCCCACCCCAACAGGCAAGCTACCACCACAGCCTGGAAAAGGATGAAATGTCATCTGGCCTCATTAGGACAATCCAAAGCTCCTTTGCGCTATGCAAACATACCATTCATCAGTGAGTAATGTAAGACAAACACATTCTGGTATAAAGCAAAATATCCCAGAATTATGTATTTCAGACCATGCATGCACTCAGCAAAGAAAGAAAGAATGAATAAAGGTCTAAATTCACTCTTCAAAAATTATTTTTTCTTTTAAAGTGCTCTGCTTAGTATTAAAAAACTAAACAGGGACTTCCTCACTTGAGGAAGACTTGGAAAAGCCCCAGACCTAAACTAAAAGCAGTGGTTGTGGCCAGCAGCCTTCTGGCTTCCCCTTGCTGTTATTAAGAATCCTTCTGTTTAAAAATTTCTCCACCTCTTACAAGCCATCGTTTTTACTTTCTGAGTCCAGAAAAATCGGAAAACCATGTGTTTATAATGAGCCTGTTGCTATGCAGATCATTAAAACACATTACAAAAATCTTTCCTTTGAGTCAGGAAGATATAATGGGGGGGAAGATGAGTGGCTAGCAAGAGTTCCTTTGTTGAACAGAAAACCTGGCAAGAAGGAGCAGGAGAAGCAAAGCAAGATGGAAAGAATTATGGTTATCCCATCCCTTGAATCGTTCGCACTGAAGGGGGAAAACTAACATTTTCAAAGCCCCAAAGTAATTCATCTTACGGTCTGGAGTGAGGTGAACAGGCTCACTGGGTCTTAATCCCTTTAGGCTGCATGACTCATCCCCAGCTGTCTACTAGTAAGTGCTTCTTTTCACCAGTTTTTTTCACACTTCTGGAATAATGCCAAAAAATCTCTTTTTTTCCTTTCCCTTTTGTTTCTGCTCCTATGTGTATTCTCCTTTTGAGGTCTTTTGTCTTCTCATCCAATTAACATCTTTAGCTGGGGCCTGACTTGTCCATCTTCTTCTCCAATGTCATCACAGTATCTTAGCAGGTTTTCCTCATTATTTGGAGGTTTGGTCCTCAATAGTCATACCCAGTAGATGAGATGAGAAACAAAATATTAAATTAATGTCAAAAAAACCCTTGCTTCCTAATTTTCTAAGTCAAAACAATTTGGAGTTTATCATTTTAATAAAGTCAGTCACCTTATTAAGTAATTTGCAATCAACATCATTCTCAAATTTTTGCTGTGTTCTGAATACACTATTAACCTACAAGTTTGCATGGGCGAGATTATGTGGGGACACGAAGTAAAATAAAACTTCTTAACCATATCATCCTTTCACCCCCTATGAATCTTGAGATTATGTGTATGTATGTATGTGTATATGCATAAATGTATAGGTCTGTACACACACCTACAGTATTAATTCTAAGCTCCTAGTCATGATTAATGCTATGGAACCTGTTTGACTTTCAAACAGAAGCAGCCAGACCAAGGCAAACACGTGCTGGGTGAAAACAAGTTTGGTTGGCTCCAGACAAAGACTTATTTTTTAGCCCAAAGGTTGAATGGGTGCCTCCTCCAATGGTATGCCTGCAAATGAAAGACAGATTTCTATTTCTAATCTATACAAATATCTTACTGTGTGGGATCAGAGACTGCAGATCCCAGGTGCTCCAGGAAAGGCCAGAGCGTATCTCCACCTGAGATGCCTGGTAACACGGGATGACTGGACAGTTAGTCATTAGAAATATTCATTCCTAATGAATATCACTGGAGCCTCTGGTGAAACATTCTGCTGGAATCCTGCTTCACCTCCACTGCTTCCCCTTGGCCACTCTGCATGGAAGGCAGCAGCATTCTCAATTTAGATCTCACATGTTTCTAAAAACCTCCCAAGAAGGTTTATATTCCCAAAGGCTCCTACTCACCTGTTACTACTTCACCAGAAAACTTCAGCATTTCAAAATGTTACTCTCTTCAAACCAACTTTCTTTCATGCTCTGGTTTGTAGCCCTACAACTCATGACATGTTACTAAACCACACCTGGGTGGCTGCTGATGGTCCTCGACCTTCCCAAGAGCATGCAATTCTTTTGTTCTTTTCTTTCTCTCACTATCAGTTTTCTTTTCTTTGCTTATGACACTCTTCTTTTACTACTCCATCTCCCAGGCTTAAGTCTTCCTCTTGAAATGCCATCCCTTGACACACTCCAATTTTAGGGCCCCTTGGGAGCAACAAAATTTTTTTGTGATGCTTAAAAAAAAAAGCCCACACAACTCCTTGTGCTAGCCCAATTCCTAACTTTAAACAGTGTTTGCCATAAAAGCAGGTTATACCTGAAATCTACATAGTTCAGTTCCAATGTTTAAATCTAAAGATGTCTCTCAAAGCTTTAAATTTTTTCTTTGTTGGCTTTTCTGCTCAAAAAGAGTAAGAATTTCCTTCAAAATCCTGTATTGGAAAACACTCCTTTCCCTACTTACTAATCTTTATCTTAAATTTGCAAGACTAACTGAGCAAAAGCAATTCTACATCAAAGAAAGTAAGTCCTTTCTAATTAATCACCACCTCTAAACTTCTTTATACCTCAAATTTTGAGATTTAAACACTTCTTCAGATTATGAGTTCAAATATTGATAGTCAAATAGCACAGATTTATGTTTACTTCTCTAGGAAATCTAAAACTATAAAGCTTGTCAGAGGTTAATGAATCCATTGATTTTCAGGTACGGAAAAGTGTCAGACCCACCTGAGGAATCCTATCCCTTTTAAACAACACCTGCTCTTGATCTTCAGCCCTAGGCATTACAACTTAAACTTCTGGTAAAGCTCTAGAATCCATATTTATAATAAATGCTCTAGGTAACTATGAAATGGTAGGGTCTGGTTTGATCCATCCTGACATTTTACCCAATATGGCTGCCTTCTCTATAAGACACCAAACAACCCATGCAGTCTGTGCTACAGCATCCCCAGAGATCTTTTTATAAGTCTTGTTCTACTTTTATATGGCTTCAGTTATTAGAAACTGGAGCCAAATAGCCAACGTCTTTCAACTTCACTTATTGTAGGCCTTAATTTTGTGCTCCAGAGTTAATACAGAATTCCCCTCTCACAAAAGTCTTCAGATGTCCAAAGGCAGCTGCTGTGCCTTAAAAGACTTCATTTTTCAAAGCTTATGTGACCCTTTTCTTTAACTTCATAACATACAATTTCTGAGTTCCTCACCATTTCAACAACTTTCTCTCAACAACAGACATTACAGAATAAGTTTTTTGAGAGTAACACTTCATTTTTCTTAAAAACTTTTAAAAATATACACTATTTTACAGTCTATGCTTCACACTTGTCCCTTGCTGTCTTGCATTTAATTTTCTGATAGCCAAGGATCAGCAAGTACTTATTAATGAATACTGTGTTTGACAGGACTATGTAAAGTACCCAAAAAAGACTCAAAATGAAGTAGACACAATCCCTTGTACAGGAAAGATGTGGATAAGTGAAATAACTTGAAAATAGTGCAAAACAGTATATATCAGAATGCTTCAAATTACTCATGAGAATGAGTGAATACCTCGTGTTTAGATTCAGACTGTGAGCTAACTAATGTCCTGTCTTTTCATACATATCATCTATTTAACAACAGATTTTGATTAAAAAAAAAAAGAAAACGGAGACTATCAAAAAATGTACATGATAATCTCAAGTGTATCTTTATTTCAGATATTTAAATTTTAATACCCTACACAAGTGAATGTAATGTGGAAGGTACAATAGTACTTTCTTCTAAGAATGCCGCTGGCTTGGTTTCCCAAGCACTCTGAATGCCAAAATCTGAGCAAAAAGTGAAAATTAGAGAGTTAAGTCATTCCTTTTCCAACTAGAAAAACCTACTGGAAATATATCCTACTGATGAAGAGGTTCCCTAGATATTTTCATGAAAAACTCTTACCAATAAAAACAATGTACTAATGCCAACAAAAATATTCTTGTTTCATCCACTGAATCATAAACCATCAGAACTTTATTAACTCTTACAACACATCATGTCAAAGATAGTAGGTGGCTCCTCCAGGATACAGCAGAGTGGGGACAATAGCCAGGTCTCCTCTCTATTGACTTCTCATCCCTTTTATTTAATAATCAAAGCTTTGACCTGTCAACATTTTCCACTTTATCTTTACTTCAATCTTTAGCTACCTTCCAAATCCTCAAATCCAAGGCCCAATGGTGCACTACAGGGAAGGAGAGGGGGGTAATTTTGAGGAAAAGAGTAGACAAAACAGTGTTGGGTGGTTAATTTTTATTATATTCTAGCACACCTATTTTACTCAACTTTCCCCCAAAATACTTCTATGATGTTAGACAGAAAACTCTATGTGGATCAGGATTACTACTGCTTTACCAGTGTTATATGGGTTCAATCAAAATTCCACAGCCACAAAGCAACTAGCAAACAACCCCCAGCTACCCCACACTCTCTGTCACTGCAGACAGAGAACTAAGTCAACCAGCATGAGCTGGTTTGTCAGAAGTCCACACCCTTATGTGGAACTTAGAGGGGAAATACACCTACCTTGTGGCCTCTTGCTGAAGCCATGACACATTTGGCACATAAAACATGACTCCGAAGAAAAGCAGAGGCTCATTAGCAAATTTGTCCAGATGTTTCTTCAGAGGTTTCTCCAACTCCACCCATCTTGCTTGCTGGCTCTTGCTGAGAAACCAAAGGCCAAAGTAGTGTGTCTAGATAAAAGGATAAAACCACCATCAGTTCATGCTTACCACAAGCATCCCAAGACCACACAGAAAACAAGACTCCAGCACATGGTCAGCCTTAGTTCCTCAGCATTTCAAAAAGGATCCCACTTCTGTACAATCCCATCTGTACAACAATGTAACCTACTCAGAGCATCCAGCACTGCTCTCCCATGCTTCTGTATGTACATGTAGCTCCTGATGCACCTGTGTGTTTGATAAGGGAGTTGGGGCAAGGTGGAGGACACTACTCACTTTTTTTTTAAGCTCTAAAGGCTGACTTTCCTACATACCTTCTCAATTCCTCATGATCTCTCAGAGAACATGCGGCAAAGGCCAACCCAGTTCTTGCACCTGCTGCAGAACTTATTACTCAACTCCTAAAACAAAACCTTTTGCCAAATAAAGCTGCTGCACTGTGGAAAAACTTTCATACAGTACCAGATTTTAACCGAAAATTAATGCACTCTTTTTGAGCTTTAATGAAGCACTTTAAAAGCATCGCTCTGCACCACTTTACTATACATGAGCTGTAGCAAATCTCTCCCCACATCTAGCTTTTCAGAGTGGAAGACTCTCCTCTCCACAGCTGCCCCAGGAGCCCCTGGTGGCTGTTCTTGGCAGATTACAGTGGGATTTGATAGATGAAAGCGAGATTGTCACCCTTAGACTTGAAGCCACAACTGGTTTAGTTTTCAACAACATGCTAAATGATTAAAACAGGTACTTTCATGCACACAATCCCATCTTTATATTAATTCATCTAGGATTTCAGGATTAGCACAATAATCACCAAAAAAATAGATCACTGCTTTTGAAGATTCTTTTTATATTTCAATTATAGCCTAGAATGATTTACAGCACACCTGGAAATCTGCCTTCAAAAGAATGTTTTCATTACAAAGTTTAATTTCCAAAGGCATGTTCCCACTCCAGCTGGCTGCCCCCTCAATGTACCAAAGATCAATCCCTGTGACAACCCTACCAAAATCCCTAATGAAGCTTTGACTCTAACTTTACTAGAAAACCAGGTGTGCCCTGATGTACAGAAAGCTGCAGACCAAATACTTTAATGGATATTTTTTAATGGATTGCCTTTCAGATGGGTGCAATGATCTGATCAACTTTCTTAAATGATCTTCCAAAGGACAGGCTCACATCAGATGTCTACAGGTTTCTCAAACTACAACCACCAACAAGACAGAGCCTGGGTGATATTTCTATCAACTGAGACAAACATAACCGAGTAAATTCTGACCCTAGTGTTCATTTCCTAGCTTTAGTGAGTCTGTGAGTTGTTCAAATGTGAGTGATGACATAAAGGAAACGAAATGTGGCTGAATAGAAAGAAAACAGGCTTTGAAGCCAGCTTATCTCCGAGCATGTGTACCGGCCTCAGGAATGTGGCACAAGTTAATGAACCCCCAGCCTCTCAGAGCTTTCTCTTCTGTAAAATGGGAATGATGGCAACCCTCACCCACAGGCTGAAAGGAACCTAAGTTAGAGAATGCCTGTCTCCTAACGCTCAAGGCACACATAAGGAGCTTACTTAATAAAGTGCTTTCTGCAGCAGGTGCTGCTGGTCACTACTCCTGCTGTTACTACCACCATCATTAGCACTGTAATCAGTAAATGGAAGCAGGCAGGCTGCATCAACCTTCCTCTCACTATGACCAGTTTGGATCTGGAGTGTCCCCCAAAGGCATGTGTACAGTCGTGGTCCCAGTTTCATACTATCGGGAGGTGGTGGAACCTTTAACAGGTGGGCCTAGTGGGAGGTCTTTAGGTTACTGGGAGTGTGCCCTTGAATGAGACTGTGCACCCCAGGCTCTTCATCTTCTTTTCTTTTGATTCTCTACCACGAGGTGCATGGTTTTACTCTGCCACACACTCCTGCCATGATATGCTGCCTCACCACAGGCCCAAAGCAACAAAACCAATCAGCCATGGATTGCACCATCTGAAACTTAAAGACAAAACAAACCTTTTCTCTTTATAAGTTGATTATCTCAGGTATTTGTTTTAATGACAAAAGACTGATTCACACACCTCTGAACCATAAACTTAGAACACAGAATTTACCTGGAAGTAAACAAAAAAAAGCAGGCAAAAGTAGAAGTTGGATTATCTCTAAATAACATAAAAGCCTAACAGGTATAAGAGAAAAATAACCAAAAAGCAATGACTCCCCTAGATTTCTCTTGAGAGGCCCTTTATAGTAGAACACGAAAATATCAGTCTGATGCTATCTGAAAAGATGTGTGATTCAGGCTTAGACTAATCTCAAAATGAGGTACCCTGGTCTAAAAAATGGTTCAAGGCAGTTCTGCATCATGCATAATTCCCATGATGGGAATTCCTTTATGGAGGATGGACAGTGCCATAAGGGTCTCCCACTACACTGTGGATGACTAGGAATGCTTGCATATAGTAAATGAGGTAATCTACACAAACTGTAACATGCTATGTAATAATTACTATAGTTGGGAAAGAGCCCTTTTCTAAGCATGGGTGGAGGTAGAGAGGAGGCGCCTCCCAACTGCTTAACAGACTAAGACTAACCATGATTTACCTCTGTCACTAAGAGTAGCTGTGGCACTTGGGGGATCCTTTTATGATCCATACTTCATTCTAATTATAATATTAATTAAAATTATTAACATCGAATTATAAAGGGGCACACAGTAACTGCATAAACATTTGAAAATTGATTTTGAAAAAAAAGAAGAAATTAAAATTTTTATTACTCCTATGCCTTGAAGGTTAGTATTTTATATTTCTTTTCATTCATTCTCACTTATCCAGATCATTAAGCCAGATCTGACCTCCTGCAAAAAATACACCCAGAGGTGAAATATTCCATAGATTACACACAAATGCACACATACTCCAGCACACACGCACTTGCATGCATATGTAGAAATGGAGGATGATGAGGTACAAGAGAACTCGGAGTAAGGTAATAATCTTCAGCTGCAGTCAATACTATAGGATTCTAAATAACAAAGTAAACCACGTCTAATGGAAAAACCTAATTTGTGGCATAAGGTATTTTTTTTTTGTTTGAACACACCACTTTCCAAAAGGACACAGGGCATTTCAGCCTGACTCACCAGGCAGTTATCCAGTGAAATAATTATGTAACTCCTGAAGAAATGGAATTCTCAGTGTAGGGTAAGATTGGGGAGGCAGGTAATCTGCAGCATAGTTTCTGTGCCTTACTGACGGCCAGAACACACTAATTGTAAAGGGCTGGATCCAGTCTTCCAGCAGGAAGGAAAAGTCCACTAATGAGACTGCCAACCTCACGCTGGTGTTTGAAGCTATGCCCAAGAAACCTTCTCTGCTCCAACTATTTCTCTCATCCCTTCTTTGGCTACCTTCCTACTCTGGAATTGAAAGACCCAGTTTCAAAGTTCTTACACTGCTCTGTTCAATTCACAAAACAGCATAGTTTATATTCTGCCATGTCTATACAGTGCCTCCCAGCACACAGAATCAGAGCTTAAATTCTCATTTCAACTCGCATGGGCACCAACCAACTTCCTGTGTATTGTCCAAGGGACTATTAAGCCCGTCAAGCCCAGCTGAGACCACACCAGGCCTGTGCACAGTTGACTTGACTTGCCAATATAAACTCTAGCTCAATTTTGTTAACTGAGCTTTGCTGCTAAACACTACAGGGTTGCAGAAAGCATGGCAGATGATTCCAAGTAGAAACCAGAACCAAAAGGATCTTACTCGAGTATTGCCCGAAAACTTGTTTTATGTCTGATGTATCAGAAGTAAGCCAGGCCCAGCTGATCCTCGTGATACCTCTTGGCAAAGTACAGACTGCCTCATTTTTTTCCCTCTAGTTTCAGAGCCCACAGCTCTGAAGCCATGAGTTTATTGCAATGATGAGAAAAGAAGGCAGAAAAACCAGCTCTCAGGGAGAGAGGAACCACATCTCTGAACCAATTACTAAAAATGCACTGTGATGAAACAATGTAGGGAAAGCCAAACTACACCATCACTTTTTATGTGAGTAGTTTCCTGGTTTGTTTGGTTCGGGGTTTGCCATTTTGTCAGAGGAAGCTAAATACATGCACTGAAATGCTGGTGCCTTCATATGACTACTTCAAAGTGAAAATGTCCATTTCTTCAGTATTGTGAAAAGATTCCAGGGAATAAAGGCCTTTAAAAAAGAGCTAGGGAGTTACTGGGGATACAAAAATTCTCTGTAGCATCTGTTCAATTTTTCTGTCAACCTAAAACTCCTCTAAAAAACAAAGTCTATTAAAAATAGTTGGAGTGTTGTTGATTTGTTTGCTTATTGTGCTGCTGGGGATTGAGCCCAGGGCCTCAAGCATTCCTCAAACCCAGGCAAGTGTTCTGTCACTGAACTGCATCTCCAGCCCTTCATTCATTATTTATAAAGAGATGATATAATTCCACACCTTACCTATTTTTTGAGAATTTTGTTTTTCCAGATTTGTGACCCATGGCATGGCTTTAATGTTATTTATAGGAGTGACAGATGCAGTCTTCGAAATTACAGGGCATTTAACCCTTGATCTTAATGCAAGCATTTTGAAGAGCTAGTCATCCAGATGCAAAAGTCTGTAGTATCTCACACTGAATTGTAACAGGTTTTCTGTCTTCCTCAGTATTTCAGTTGTTAATTAAGAAACAGAGGTGGTATGCCTCCACGTAAAATATAGAGGAGTACATATAACCATCAAAGTTCCACTAAGGCATAAGGAATACTTCAAAAGGTGACCACACACAGGCTCTGACTCAGCACTTCATGCAATTACATTACAGGAGCTTTGGGAAACAGGCCACTTTGCATCACTTGGATAACTGTAAAATCCAATTTGTGTGTGATCTATCTCTAGCCTGGGTAGGTTTTGGATTTTTCTTTTCTTTTCTTGGGGCAGAGGGCAATACTGGGCCCAAGTGTGAGGTGAATTCAGCACCTCACACTTGCTAGGCAGGCACTGTAC